GGAAAGCTAAAAGCATGACTTCCTATCGGCGAGGGCCAAATGGAGGAGCTAGTTCAAACTACTGTGCAAAGATCAGCCTCTTTGCTCGGAGCAAATGAAGCTGCAAACAACAGCTCTTGAGCAACAAATGTGAGTTTTTGCACAGACTGTTCCTTTAATAATTGACTGAAACCTAACACACCTTAAAGGCACTATCAGCAAATACAAGCTGTCCTCAGAAGAAAAGAAGTCCTACCTACATCAGATTAGTTCTGATTGAATAAATACAACCTGAATTCACTTTGTACCATTATTAGGTCATTTAAAATATTTACTTTAAGAATTACAATTACAGTGTGACCCTCCTTCAGACAGAATATTATTCATAAAATACTTACTATATTCTTTCCTATGTTTGGACTGCACTATTTTAATTTTACTATCTTTTATTCTTTAGCGCTTAGTTTGGATTATTTTTCTACTTTTTGTTAAAGAAACACCCAAAAACTGCATAAGATGGTTGTTGTAAAATTGTCTAATGGAAAAGCACAAAATCCTATATTCCCAAATTGTATTAGAGGAAACCCCAGTTCTTAACATATTGTTTATTGAAACTCAAGTGAAAATTCAGCCTGAAAGACTCAATTCAGCCTCACCTCTCATTCAATCGTGCAATTATGAGCCCGGCGCCAGGCTCCACCAAAGGACCGTTTGTACATGCAACAACTTCTTCTGCATCAAGCTGCAACTCATCTGGCACCCCATCTCTACCATCATCCTCGTTTTTATTTCGCTCCCTTCCTCTTTCTGCATCTATTCCAGCACCAGTGTCAGGCCTATCAGGGAAAGATATACCTATACTTATTTATCTGCTTAATCATAGTATAAGGATTCTCTATACTTGCATCTTCCACCGATGTCTGAGTGCCAAAGGCTATATTTCTCATTTAAGTAAAGCTCTCTAATTGTTGCCTCTCTTCAGTGTGCATTTTTTCCAGATTGATATGCATATATATCTTGAAACATGTATGAAAAAATGTATTTTTGCTTTTTTCATAACAGTATTCTCAGTACATCTAACTATAAAATAAAGTGTAATTAAAAACAACTTCAAATTAAGGTCAGCAGATTCGTTAATTGTTAGGTTTCGTGATTTTACAATGAATTTATTTCAACTGATATCAGTTCTCTACAAAATCAAGACTTTTATTTAAAGGATAGTTTTACATTTTAAAGAATGAAGGAAAATGTTTCATAAAGTAAAGAATCTGGAATTTTTGTTACCATTTAAAAAATGTGATATTACTATTTGTTTTTAAATGTGAATGGGTACTAATTTGTGCTTTTTCAAAGTAAGAACAAAAATTTAACAAAGAAAAACAGCAGTAATATTAACAGATGAAGTAAGAATTTTTTTTTTTTCAACATTGCATCCTGAAAACAAATCCTGGCTAGCAATGTGAGATTCTATAATCTACCATTGACTAGTATTTGGTGCATTTGTCAGATTGTATAACTTAAATATTTTCCTTTTTCTTTAGTCTTTTTTTTTCTTATTGAACAAACAGCTGCCTCAGTAGAGAAACATATTTTTACATTGAGATAACAATGAGTTTAAAACTTTGAAGTGTGAAGTTTTCTGTCTGTAATATTTTTTAAAACATCCCTCCAGAACCCAAATGACCAAGGTAGGCACACTATATTCCTTGGTGGATGTTAAGGTTAAAATGGTTCTTGCACATCTTTAACAGGGATGCCATTATGGGTGATACTAAAGATACTAAAAGTACAAAAAAAAATTTTTATGTTATGAGCTTGGAAAAATTCCAGGTATGGAAGCAACAATAAAATTAGCTAAAAGAAAAATGGCCTAACTACAAAACTTATGAAGAACTTAAGAAGCCATTTTGTGTCTTTTACTTTTATTTTTTAATTGGTTGCTTAATATAGTTAAGTTTTAATTCTCTGTTTGCTGTCCCGTTGGTTGAATCATAGATGAATTCCTTTTTCACCTTTTTCAAGACAATATTTTGCAATAAAGGAAACGTATTACGCTGGAGACTGTGCTGTTCTGCAAAATTAAATATGTTGCAATCTTTTTTTCATAAAGTGAGAGTCAACTAAATTATTTCTAAATCAGAATATATCTTGTGGCTAACATTGAGATAAGTAAATTTGCACAGCACTTGACTATTTGACACCATAGTGTTCTGCAGTTGTAACTCACAGAGTTTTTGTGTGAAATATTAAGACACTCAAGTTTGATGTTTGATCTCTGTTTTAATTTCAAAACCATAATATTAATATTTTAAAAATGCTTCTTCTGTCATGTTTTCTTGTCTATTCCCCAGTGCTGTATTTCCTAATTTCACCACTAGATGTCTCTGTACAACAGAATAACATTGAAACACATTTAGTGGCCAAAAATAAGACACCAAGGTAGATATTTTATACCTTCTGGTATAATACAAAGAAAATAAAATGCATACAAAGAGACAAAAGTATGGAATTTTTGAAAAATCATTATTCTGATTTCAGGAATAAACTAAATAACATCAGTAGTGGTGAAAATAAAGACACGATTTAGAACGTTTTTTGCAATAAAGTATTAGACAATTACACTTTCCAATAATATGTCATATATCTTGGTGTTTTTCTGCTTCTGCCATGAGGTCAGACATATACAGACTTATGTCTAATAACTGCATAAACTTCTTTAATTCCAGTACAAAAAGTATATGGACTCATCTTCTGTCAGCACTAGATGTACCCACTTTTATTTGGCCTTTTCTAATTAAACATTCAACATTATGTATTTAATGAGCATTAAAAATGACGTAGAGAGAAAAATCAACTCTATAGGGCATAATTAGCGCTACATACACCAGGTATTCCCAATGCATTTTTGAATATGTCTAATTACCGGTTTCAGATTATGTTCCTAGATAAAAAGGATTTAACAAAAAAAAAAGATAATATTAATAATCAAAAGCCTTTTTTGGTCAACAGAAGCTAAAGGCCTGAATTTCAAAATAAATTTTAAATCCATAAAACATAAGAAATGTTGTTACATCATAGTGACAATAGAGTTTATTTGAGTCCCTAGGTGAAATATTTTAACCAGAACATTTGCAAGAGTACTTTGCCTTAAGTATAAAGTTCCACATTTCTCCTCTTTAGCCAGATTTATCTAAGGAATAATAAAGAAGTTGATCAAGTCTCTAAATTTAATGAATTCCTATGAAGATTTTTTATGCATCATTGTATTCATAAATTGACTAAGATTGAAAAATCTCAAGATATTTGCAAAAAATGTTCTTTATGTCAAAAGCTGGCCGGAAATGTGGTGGCCAAGGGCTGAAAACATTGCTCAGAAACATAACTTCAGTGCAAATACAAAAAGTGCTGCAAAGACAACAATGAGACTTACAAGCATAAAAAAGAGAGTAGCAAACTCAAAAGTTTGACTAACAAACAAAAATGGAACTGGAAAATTAACCTAGTAAACATAAAAACATGGAACTAACACACAAGACAGAGGAAAAAATAGAGAAGAAAATGGAATCACAGAATATCAAGTGCAGCAATTCTGCAAACACAAAACCCATATAGATAAATGACGCTAACAGACAAAATGCATGCAGAGAAAAAAATGCCGCAAGTTGCAAAAACAATCACATTTTAAAAAGCTGCTAACGTACTCCACAGTACCTCCATCAACACATATGGTATCAAATATGGTGTCAATTTCATGTCAAACCTGGTAATACCAATAAAAAACATCACATGATTTATTTTAATTCCAGGAGGACATGCGTTCGACTCCATGCTAACTAAACTGTGGACAGAATTTACATCTGTGGACCAGAGATATGACATAAATGGGGTGCCAGCCTAAGAGACATTTGAAGAGAAGAAAGTAGGAGAACATTTTCAGTTGACTCTTTTTTTTAACTGTTAATTTTTCTGAAAATCTGGTGTATGCCTTAAGGTTCTGGACCAAGTGGTCAAAAAGGTGTCGTTCTGTGCAAATAATGTAATGAAATGTAACAAATGTCATAATTCAAACAAAATGTTAAGGCAGACATGATATCTACTTTTAAGACTTGACTTAAAGCTTTAAAGCTTACAGTGTGGCTCAGGTTATCCTACCTCTATGATTATACTGCTTTCAGCTTTGACTGCAGGAAGACATATGGGCCACTTTTCATCATTCAGCTTCATTCTATCTCTATTCTACAAGTCTACAATATTTGTTCGTTCAACCCCCTAACTTTATGTTCTCTTGCTTTTTCTCGCCACGTTAGGTTAATCTGACCTAGTTTAGATTGGCTGGAAGACCACTGACTGCTAGAGGAAAATTTCAGCTTGGCTGCTGCAATCAACACCTCCAATTATAGACAATGGAGTTGGGCCTCTTTTTCAGTGTTTAGTCCCGTCTCTCTTCTAGACATCATCAGAATCATACTTTACTGTTACTTACTGCACCTAATCTTTATCATCCTTTTTGATATAGGCTAAGAGCTCATCTGATTAACTGTCTCTTTCCTAGAGAGAGTAAAGTATTTATTGATCAGAGCTTCTATCTCTGTCTCTGTTTTCTCAAATCCCCAATTTGCTGAACCTGAACCTAGTTTTGTCGGAGGTTTCTGTTTAAAGGTAGTTTTTCCTGTCCACCGTCACCACATACACGTTTGATGTAAGGAATTGCTGTAGGGTTAATGGCAAAACACCTACTGTCAACACAGTCTAAACCCCTGCAAAGTCAATGACTGCAGCAATCAGAAATTTTTAGTTTGTCTGTCTGTTCCTTTGTTTTCGTCCCCTTTTTTTTTTTTTTTTTTTTTTTTTTTTTTTTTGGTAACTTTTTAAGGAAAACAGTCATTAGCCTGAGTGTCCAAAGGTGGAGGCGCAGGTTCACATCCCTGGTCTGTGTGCTACATATCCGTCGTATCAGTCCGCAACCGCTCCCTGTCGGACCTATTTTTTTCCAGCGGAAGAGTTTCTCCATCCACCTGTGCGCCGCGGTTTGTTCCAGGAGGAGCTGAGCGATCCTGACTCTTTAGTGAAAACTACACAGAACATCCAGGTAAGCCGCAAATCATACTCGGATTCAGGTTTATTTTACGATAAACCATCTGGGCTAGACTCCAGAAACATCTGTTCAGAATGAGAGTGGAGCGTTTTAAGATGGGCGAGATTTTAGAAAAATAGACTTTGACATTTGCTGGAACAGCTGGTACAGTAAGCGCTTAGAAAGTTATAGAATCAACTTTACTTTAAATAGAGACCTAAATGTAATATTTCTAACTTAGACACATTTTGATCAGTGTACTTAGAGTTTCATATTTTTTTTCATTCGTTTAATTTTAAAAAGGACAATTGATTGTAAAGTTAAAGCTTTTAAGAATTTCGCTGGAAATTACGCACCGTTAATTGCGCTCTAAACACAAAAACAGTCAACAATTCTTTTTTGTTTTATGCTTTTAACACAGATTAAGCGGGTTTTTGTTTTGGTTGAATGGCTTTTATTGTTTTTCAGGCGTTATAGCTTCAGTCAATTAATCAGTCACTGTATTTCTACTTGTATGATTATTTTAAACAAATCAAAAAGTTTATGGTTCTATTTCTGGTCTCCAATTTACAATCGTGGGACATTTCTCTTTTCAATCTAGCTTTCTATACCAGGTCATGATAAAACAATCTGGTCTTTAGAAGATTTTATTGTCTGTGTCCAAAAACACAACTGATTTCACCCTGTCATTATTTATAAAAAAAAATATCAATCAAGTCTGTAGAAGAGGTGTGAAGGGCTGATAGAGTCAAGCTTATTTTTTCAGTGTTTAGTCCCGTTTCTCTTTTAGATATAGCACTTACTGTGGGTGCTCTTTATCATCCCCTTTGTTATTGAAATCAACTTAACCACCAATGTTAAGCAGCAATACTTCTCAGTCTTTCTTTGCTTGTTTCTCTCACTGTTGTGGAGAAACTTGAGTCCATTCCTATGTCCAATTATGTTTAATTTCTTTGGGGTTTAAACATTTTCTTTGCTCGTCTGTATGCTTCCCCAGTGCGTTTTAAAGTGGAATATTCATGTTATATGACAAAGTTTATATGCGTACAAAGTTCTTTCTGAATGATGCATCATGAAGGTATGTTTTTTTTTGGGGTATTTTAGTGTTTTTTTTGTTATTACTCATTTGTCAGTAAATAAAGCCCTCAGGTATATTAACAATAAAAAGAGTGCTTGATTTTAGGTTTGTTACTGTGCATCTGCACAGGGGATAAACCAGGTAGCAGTGGGCTAAGATAGTTGGAGCCTCTCAGCAGAGTTGTAAAAAAAATAAAAAAGTCCAAGATCCGGGGTGGGATAAGACCGGTAACACTCAAATATTGCTTGGATACGGCTTGTTCATAGGTGTTCCCTGAAGCGGGAGCTAAAGCTGCAGAGGTGTTCAGATGTCCATGTGGAGCTGATGGATGTGGTAGTAAAGGTCTTTATCAGTACTGATACTAGTGATAGCAATCCTAATCTTAGTCTCTATAGGCTAAATTCAGATAACATTAAACATAGATTAATTGACTGAAATATACAGAGTAGAGTGGGGGGGAAATTTTCTTTCACAGCTGCTAAAATCCAGAAGATTAGGCTAATCAAGGTCAGATTTAATTAAAGGTTAATCAACAGTGCACTTACCAGCCAAATAGCTTTTTAATGCATATCAATTGCATTCATTCCAATGCGTCCCGGTTGGTGTTTAGTAGGAACAGTTAATTTCATTTTCCTTCATGATTGACAAGAACAGAAGACCTGCGAGGTTTTGGCAGTTGATAGACTGATTAAATATATTACAACAAATCTAATGCATTTTGGAGTGATTTAGACTAGTATTTTGAAGTCCATTTTCTGAGGGATGGGGAGCTACTATAACAATTTTAGCAATGGGGGATGTGCTCTACTTTCTCAGTTTTAGTGAGGACACAGGTAGCAGCAGTCTGGAACAACTCCAGCTTTCTGATCAACTTTATAGGCAGATTTACGAAGACACAGTTGCTGTATTCACTTCTACTAAAGATAAACACATGAACTAGTTCGTTAAGGTCCTGCTAAGAAATAAGTTATTTAATCCTGGAGATGTTCTTTAAGTAATCAAAGGCCAGCTTTCATGCTGTCTGTATATGTTCATGTCTGAGTCCATCAATACACCCAGATTTTAAACGTGATTGTTGGTTTCTAGCCATATTACTGAAGCTGTGAGCTAAATTTCGAATGCTCTTCATTTGATCCAAAATGATATTACTTTAGGCTTCTTTTGATAGACAAAGTTGAACAAAATTTTGGCATATCCATGCATTGATTTTTTTCCTATATATTTACTAAAGCTGAAAAATTTAATTGGATTAATCAAATATTGGAATAATAATCAACTATTTCAGTAATCAATTAAAAATGTATTAAAAAAATTTATAAATATTTTGTATTTAAGACTAAAAAAAAAATTGGCACGCATCAAAACATTTTAGTTTCAGCTGGTTTGTTTCTGTATAAAATCTTCTTAAAGGAATCTTTGCTATCCGATTATTAATCGATTAATTGAAAATTAGAGAATTGATGTGTCATCTAAAAATCTGATAATTGAGTTGTTTAGTGTTTTAATATTTGGTATATAAGGTGAACAGAAGAGGTGAACTGACACAACCCTAGGGTGCGCCACTATTGATGTTAAGAAGTTTCTGTAACATCTCTATTTTTTGTCATCAGGGCATTTTTCCAGAAGTGTTATGATTTATTTTGTTGTACATTTAGATACCTAAACTGTGCTTCTGTACCCTCAAAAACATGCCATTCTTGATAGATGTTCAATTAGTTTCAAATTGAACATCTCTTTCTTCCAAGATTTGACTCAGCAAGGGTGTGAACAATTTTTTTCTATTTTAGCTTTCGTCTTTCCATTTAATGCGTAATGACTCTTTTATAAACCTGTGGTTCAGTTTGATCAATGTATCAAAACTGATTAGTTTTTACAGTTTTACAGTTATTTGATGATGAAAAAACTATTCAGATCATCGATATAACTTAAAAACTAATCAGTTGAAGGCTGGGGTTCACATGATTAGAATATAACCTGATACATGTTGGGTTAATCCGGTTTCATTTAAGATTAGATGTGTTTGTATTTTAGCTTGTTTCCTGTTTTCTCAGTAAACATTTCACTCCTTGAAGTAATCCTAGCATTTGAGATCTTCCGAAAGTTTTGCCTCCAATGAGTTTCTTTATCTAATCTTAGTGAATTTTATTACTATGATGCTGGACACAGCGAGCAGTATGTTAGATGTCTGGAAACTTTGTAGCTTTCTTTTGTGATGGCATGTGACTAAACCTTGGATTTTCTAGCCTTGAACATTCAGAAATGCCATAGAACATTGGGTGCTTTAGCTATTATAGGCAGGAAAATGTGATGAATAAAAACTCTTATTGTTGATGTTTGTAAACTCTAAAACCTGGTAGTATAAAATTGATTCTTACATTTGCTATTTTCAGCTTCTTTCATCAGAGTATCAGCTGATATCTTTGAAAATATATTCCAACCAAATTATGTTGCCCTATTGTTCTCTGACAGTGTACATTGACAGGTGCATTTCCTAAAAAGGTTTTACTTTTATTGTTATATTGTTAGGAATAGCACAAACCATGAAAAATTCAAAGTTAACTTCTTATAGATACATAGTAACACCCGGAAAACCAGAGTACCTTCTTTTTGGTTGAATCCTCTCTCTATTAGGTTAATAAGAGAAAATATTTGTTGTCCTAGAGACATGGTTGATGCGAGTGAATGAAGGTCCATCCACCAACACATTATTGGTGTGGCTCTGAGACTGATCTGTGTAATTGGAATGAGAACAAAGAGCAAAAGGCAGCAGGAGGACAAAAGATTTGACTATTGATTCCCAAAGTAAAAAACATCTTTATGTGGTTTTATTTCTAAGGACATTACTATCTGATTTAATCAGTTTTGTTTTCTATAGCCTGGAGATTGTATCAGTGGAATGAGTTACTGATTAACCTGATGAAGGGTTGGGAAAAATGCCACCCTTCCCCATGGTTTCTGTGGTTTCTAGATGCAGTTTGGAATATCAGGGGCGTTTCTCTATGATTACATATTTTCAAACCAAACATTCCAACATTGTACGTCAAGTGTGTTTTGACTCATATATGTGGGATATTTGCAGGACTGGGCGTAGACCACTGTGTTTTTTTTAGTTATCTCTGATGACGTATTTTGAACCTGATTTAATATCAGCTGATATCAGATCTTTCTCAGTTGCTCCTTCTCTCTCTGTCTGAACAGGTACTGTCCAGCATCGACACATTTTTGGCGCTATGGCTGCTAATATGACCCCTCCGGGCTGTGGCTCCGACCTGGACTCCCTCTATTACAACTTGTGCGACCGCAGTGCCGCCTGGGGGATCGTGTTAGAGGCCTTTGCGGCAGCTGGCATCGTCTTCTCTGTTGTGCTCTTCATCTCGCTTCTGGCCAGCGTGCCCTTCATAAAAAACCCAAACCATAAAAACTCTGTGGCTCTTGATGCCAGCTTCCTGTTCTGTACCACTGGGCTTTTCTGTCTGACCTTCGCCTTCATTGTGGGAAAGGATTTTTCCACCTGTGCCTCACGGAGATTTCTCTTTGGGGTGTTGTTTGGTGGCTGCTTTGCCTGTCTCCTGATGCAGTGCGTCAGGCTAAACATCCAGGCCAGGAGAAATGTCGGGCCCCGAACCTGGGTCCTCTGGCTGGGCGCGTTAGGGTTGTGGCTGGTGGAGGTTGTCATCAACACGGAGTGGTTGATTATCACAGTCGTTCGCCACCCGCTACTCCCCAACACCACTGTCGAACCCATCAGAGCCACAGCAACACCTTGTAACATTGCAAACCAGGACTTTGTCATGGCGCTGATCTACGTGATGGTTCTCATCCTGGCTACTTTCCTGGCAAGTCTGCCCATCATGGCAGGCAAATACGCAGAGTGGAAAAAGGAAGGTGCTCTGATTCTGGTGATAAGCCTGATCTCTATTTGTATTTGGGTGGCCTGGATCGTCATGTATGTGTACGGGAATGAGCGAACTGGAGGCCCGACATGGGACGACCCGACTCTGGCCATCGCTTTGGTGGCTAACGCCTGGGTGTTCATCATTCTCTACACCATCCCTCAGATCTGCTGTCTGAACAGTGATGAAGAGACAGAGGAAGACTACGGAGAGAACGGATACATGAACCGAGGAGTCGGTTACGAGACGATCCTGAAGGAGCACAGCTCTCAGAAAGTTTTCATGGAAAACAAGGCTTTCTCAATGGATGAGCCAGGCAAAGGTAATTGCTCCTTAAATCAGTTCAGAAGTTGTTGTTTTTTTCTGAAATTTCTCTGCAGTTTATTTTGCATCTTGGAGACATTACCTATTGTTAATTTCTTCTCAACAATAGACCAATAAAAAGCACATAAATAGCTTTCTAAGCTGAGCTAATTTCTTAAGACAAAAAAACAAAGAAATTGTAAAGGAACAGCATAAACAGTCGGACGGATTTGCTAGTTATCTAGCATTTGAAGACGTTTTCTGTTTGTTATACAAATGTGCCTGTTAACCCCCCAAATAAATCTGCAAATCTCTGAAATAGAGTAAGTGATGCATAAAATAAGACAAACCAAATGCTACATACTGAAAAACAACCAAAACCCCAAATTAAATGAGTTAAAGTCATGGTGTTTAGAACACTAATAGAATCTGCTCATGCAACTATAACTTTATCACATATTGATGTATGTTATTTGGATATTACGAGTTAGTCCAACACAGTGTTTAGTAAGTGTATAAAATAAAGGGAAAATTATACGTTGCTGAATTTTTTTTGCAAAAAATATGGAAAAAAAATCATAAAAAGTCATAAAGAATAACACTGGACAACAGTATCTATCATGTTTTGATTTGTTTAAAATCTATTTTAGTCAAAGTCAAACACATCAATTTACGCAACACCTAACAAAGGGATATTTAAATAATGATTCATGACTGGCTGAAGTACTTTTTCAAACAGGATGTTTGGGATTATGTAATAAGTGGATATTACTAAAGATATTAGCCCTGGAAACATACTAATTTACACTGTAATGAAAGGAGTGCTATGGTCTCCTCCAAAGTAAATACCGGCGTGACTGATGAATACGTGTTTCTGTTCTTGGACGCACTGATAGCTAAAGGGAGGGAAGATTCAGTCATGCATTTCATATGATGTGCCTGTTACATGCACTCTTCCTCCCTGGGAACGTCATTAAATTAACCATTAGAGCTTTCTGTCTGCATACTTATCAGATTTCAGGTAATGATTATGAGACTGCAGAAAGAAGTAAAAAGGCAAACAGATAAATTATCCTGAGAAGGTTTTTTCCCTTCAGATTATGACCACACAGAATGTGATATGCTGCACTTTGCAGAAAGATGAGAACATACTCATCTGTGGTGTCAAATCAAAGTTTGATGCTTTATTTATTTATTTCATCAATATTCATCGAATTTCATTGGTTGTGTGATCTGATGAGGCTAATGAGCCCCATAAATATACTACTCTAAATTGGGAGGGGAAGAAGTTTGATTAATAAAAAAAACTCTACAGTAAAGAAAAAAAAAATAA